GGTGCAACACAGTGAACAGAACAGTGCACTAGAAGTTGCGAAGCCTAGCTTCCGGTCTCAACTCCACAAAAAATTAGCTTAGGCATGTAAATAAAATCCTTCTCAGCAGCAGTTTCCTCATCTGCTAGAGTTACTCAAATCTGTGGCAATAAGTCACTTTTGCCATAATTATTATGTACAAAAAGTTTTCACATAAATTATCTCACTGGATGACCTGTATGGCCTCTCTTTACTCCAGAATTATATAAATTAATGATTTTACCAAAAAGAAATAATATATCGAAAGTTTATAATACTAAGAATTGTCCCTTGGACTGTTTATGATAGACATGTCAGAGGTAAGACTTCAAACATGAGCTAGAAGCAACTACAGACTTATTTTTAAATTGAGTGTGTTAAATCACCGTTTTCTTTTTAAAAATGAAAGACAAACATTCCCAGTCTGTGGCCATTCTTGCCTCAAGGCCCCGCACCACCATGAATGTTGTAAATGTGGAGAAGCAAAAGTACCACTAGATGGAGTAAAAACAAAAGACATGCGAATCTCTGCAGCTCAAGGAATCTCTGCCCTCTTGAAAAAAGGATGTTAGGCCTGGCGCGGTGGCTCACGCCCCTAATCCCAGCCCTTTGGGAGGCCGAAGCAGGCGGATCAACTGAGGTCAGGAGTTCGAGACCAGCCTTGCCAACATGGTGAAACTCCATTACTACTAAAAACACAAACAAATAAACCAGGTATGGTGGTGTGTGCCTGCAATCCCAGCTAGTAGGGAGGCTGAAAGAGAATCGCTTGAACCCGGGAGAAGGAGGCTGCAGTGAGCCGAGATGGGGCCACTGCACTCCACCTCTGGGCAACAGAGCAGGACTGCGTCTCAAAAAAAAGAAAAAGAAAGAAAGGTGGAAATTTTAGATCACCTTGAGCAAAATGAGGCTTAGTGATGCTGAGCTACTTCCTCAAGCCTCTAGTCAAAGTTCTTGGCAAAATTATAACAAGAATTTCATTCCTTACTTTCCACAAAACGATGCTGACGCGAAAATACTTTTTCCTTAGAGAGCATTACCAGCAACAGTGGACTCTATAATTTTTTGCACACTTATTTCTAGTAGTGCAAGAAATGTTATCTGCTAGACAACTCTAGAGCACCTACTTTAGGTAATAGGTTAAAAAGCTATAAACATACATGTTCATAAATTTACCGACATGATCCTGACTGACCCTTCCAATCATCAGGATTCCAGCTATCACACTAAAGGATGTGCCTTTATATACACACCCCTGGCTGCTGTCACTCTTAGCAACTATCCCCAGAAGAGGGATCCTAAGGAATTGAAGGTACGGATTTGGGATGGAGTTACCTTGGCCTGTCAAGTGGGCAGAATGGCCCGTTTGTTTCTTTCAACCCAGTGGGCTATCACTTTATTTTCTTAAAGAAAATCAGAGCTAAGAATCTTGTGGGAGACTGGGGCTGGGAGGTGGAACATATTCCTCTGTACATTTCTTTCCCGTCTTTAATTATGCCTAGTGTTCCGTTATTGGAACGCTAAGCTTGTGAGGGTTATTCATAGCCTACAGCTCAAGGTCATTGCCAAGGTCTGATTTTTCAAAAAAAAAAAAATTTTTGTAACTACCGGCATAAAGTGACTACCATTTCTTTTTCTCTCTCAGAGTTTCGCTCTTGTTGCCCAGGCTGGAGTGCAATGGCGTGATCGTGGCTCACCACAACCTCTGCCTCGCGGGTTCAAGCGATTCTCCTGCCTCCGCCTCCCGAGTAGCTGGGATTACAGGCATGCGTCACCACTCCCGGCTAATTTTTGTATTTTTAGTAGAGACGGGGTTTTTCCATGTTGGTTAGGCTGGTCCCGAACTCCCGACCTCGGGTGATCCGCCCGCCTCGGCCTCCCAAAGTGCTGGGATTACAGGCGTGAGCAACCGCGCCCGGCCAGGAACACAACTTTCAATTTTCGTTTAGATTTTCTAATTAAGTATTCACTAAATGTTTAACGATCTCTCAAAAAAATCACTGCCCTCCCACACCCCATTGAGGGGACTAGTCCAGATCTCCTTTGGGAGGAACAAAAACCTCAACAAAATGTGCAGAGCAGGAACTAAATCGTAATACAACCATAAAAGGCAACAAAAAGCAGAAGACAGGAGAACCTACGCAGGAACCGCTCCAGGTAACGCCGGCTCACTGCCCATTCATTTTGGCCAACTTTTGAGATGCCTTCACGTCTCCTGCCAATTTGCAGCACACTGGCCCAGTCAGGTTTCGGGGGTTTACAAGTCCCCGCTGCCGGCGAGGGGTGACAGATACACACGATGGGCGTCCCCCAAGAGCAGGAAAGCGAACTGCATGTGTGAGCCGAGTTCTGGGTGCACGTCCCACAGCTCAGGGAAGCGCGCCGCGCGCGGGAACTCGCTCCGTTCCTCTTCCTGCGGCCTGAAAGGCCTGAGCCTCACCCTCGCCCCCGAGACACCCGCGGCTGACAGAGCCGAACTCTTCGCGGCGGCAATGGGCGCCTCCGGAGAAGCCCCGGGCCGACCGCGGCCTCCAGGCGGGGTTCGGGGGCTAGGTAGGCTACCCGCCGCAGGTCCCCGGGAGGGGCGAACAGGCCAGCGGCTGACATTTTTTGTTTGCTCCAGAATGAACGGTGGAAGGCGGTAGGCCGAGGCTTTTCCGAACGCTGAAAGTCAGCAAGAAAAACAGCGCGCGGGAAGCAAAAGCACGGCGCCTACGCCCGTCTCAGTTAGGGTTAGAGAAAAAATGGCCGCCACCCCTCCCAGGCCCACCCTCCGCAACCCAGCGCGCTGCCCGGCGAGTCGGCTTATAAAGACAGCGGTCGCCGACCGCGCGGATTGGCCAAGCTAACTCTCGCGGGAAGGTGGCACGGGAAATTAAAGTTCAATTTCCGGCCATGAGGAAGTACGCCGCCCCTCCCCCACATCGGAGAGAGCCTTTGAGTCTACTTCCTACCTTCTTTAAAGGTGAAACTAGCTAGAGGCTTCAGAGGGCCGGTTTTCTATCCTCTGCAGACCAGACGTGGTTCACCTCGACTACCTTAAAAATGGAATTCATAGGAAGATTTTAGGGCCCAGGACACAGAACACAGATTCCCAGTTCTGATCATTACATTTTTTTTGGAGAACTTTGTGAAAATAGATTCCCAGGCAGCACTGACTAAAGCAGAATCTTGTCTCGGCTCAGTGGAATGGGTCCGAGTTCCTACCCTGCCCCTTCTCCTCAGCATGTCTTCTCCAGCCTCTCTGCGCAGAGGATGATGGCTTTTATCAAGTGTAACTACTACATTATTCATCTTAAGGACTGAATCTCCCTTTTATTAGGAAAGATAGGCTTTTCAATCATTGGCTTTGCTTTGCTTTAAAGTAGTGCTGTGTTGTGATGAAGCAAAAAGAGGGGAATAGTCCACCGTAAATTGTAGCGAGATTTTTTTTTTTTTTGAGATGTAGTCTCGATGTGTCACCTTAGCCGCTATCTCGACTCACTGCAACCTCCGCCTCCCCGGTTCAAACGATTCTCGTGTCTTTGCCTTCTAAGTAGCTGGGATTACAGACGCCCGCCACCCGCCACCGCGCCCGGCTAGGTTTTGTGTTTTTAGTAAAGACGGGGTTTCACCATGTTGCCCAGGCTGATCTCGAACTCAACGGCCCGCTTCGACCTCCCAAAGTGCTAGGATTACAGGCGTGAGCCACTACGCCCGGCCGCGAATTTTCATAATGGCCAATATAGTGCAGTTTTACATATTACTGACAGGATAATCTTAAAAGTTTTACTCGTGTTCAGTTGGGTAAACTCCGTGGAGTTGTCGCTGTCGGTCCTCTATCTGAAAGAAAAGTAAAATCTCTCTCTCCCCTTGCCTCCTCTTTCTTTCATAGCATCTGCCAGGCTGTAAAGTTTTCCTTTTTTTTATTTTTTATTTTAGATGAAGTTTTGCTCTTGTCGCCTGGGCTGGAGTACAATGGCACGATTTCGGCTCACTGCAACCTCTGCCTCCTGGGTTCAAGCGATTCTCCTGCCTCAGCCTCCAGGTAGCTGGGATAACAGGCGTGCGCCACCACGCCCAGCTAATTTTTGTACTTTTTGTAGAGCCGGGGTTTCACCATGTTGGCCAGGCTGGTCTCGAACTGCTCACCTGCCTTGGCATCCCAAAGTGCTGGGATTACAGGCGTGAGCCACCGTGCCCGGCTAATTTTGTTTGTATTTTTAGTACAGATGGGGTTTCACCACCTTGACCAGGCTGGTCTTGAACTCCTAACCTCGTGATCCACCCACCTCGGCTTCCCAGAGTGCGGGGATTACAGGCATGAGCCACCATGCCCGGCCTTCGTTGTAAAGTTTTTTAAGGACAGAATCTGACTTCTGTAATTAACGCTATTGCACTTAGCACAGTACCTTACATAGAGCAGATGCTAAGTGCTTTGAGTTATGTATCAACACTACCACCATTCTCTTAGCTTCCCACATTATCCAGACCCTTCTTTTCCCTTCATATCTAATTAGCCAACAAATCTTGTCAGTTTTTGTAATTTCTTTTTTTTTTTAATTCCTATTGTTAATAATCTTGAGTACTAGATTTGCCACTTTATATCTGGACTAGTGACTTTCTAATTGATCACCTAATCTCCAGGGCCTTCCCCATTCAATTTATTCTCCAAACTATCACCACATTCATCATAACATAGTTTCCTTATGTCCCCAGCTTTTAATTTCTCCCCTTTAAGTATTGGATATTTAGCACTTAAAGCCTTTTAGTCCCTGGCCTTCACTTGACCTGCTCTTGCTCTGCTCTTCGCTTAACAAAATCAGTCTAAGCTGGGCGTGGGAGTGCACACCTGTGGATTCAGCTACTTTGGAAGCTAAGGGTGGAGCCCAGGAGTTGGAGGCTGCAGTGAACTATGATTGCAGGACTGTACTCCAGCCTGGGAGACAGGGTAAGACTCTGCCTCTAAAACTAAGTAAATGAATACATACATACATAAAAAATTTAAAAACAAAATCAGTCTATTAAGCATGCCCTGAATATGCTTTGTTCATTCTCATCTTTAGCAACTTGTTCATTTTAGTATGCTTGCCTGGATATCTGTTTTCCATCCTAAAGCCACCCCTTCCATGATGGCATACCTCTACTATGGAGTCTCTTTCCTCACCACAGCAACCTTCTTTCCCTAAACTTCAGTAACCTTAAATCTTATCACTCATTTGGCACATAGCATATTGTACCACAAACTGCTCTCTTCCAAAGGAAATATAAGCTCATCAACATCAACTTATAGAAGAGGCACCATAGGAAACATTATTTTAACTTGGTTCTACTCAATAGACATCTGTTCTTGAGCTTCACCATTATTATCCCCCCACCCATTATAGAAATACAACAGAAATATTGGCATCCCAATAATTGAGGTATTTTCTATTCTCCAGGAAACATATCCAACGTTTTCTGTCACATATACTCAAAACATTTTCTTCTAACCATTTTATCTGTATTTCAGAAGCATCTCTGGTGTACTATGTTGGGTCCAACTTCTTTAAATTCTGCAGCAGTGATCCACATGTCCTGGAAGGCAGACAAGGATGCAAGAATAGAACCTCCCATCCACACTGATATTTTCCTTTCTGGAGGAGCTGTAACTTGCACAGCGGTGTTGGCAGGTGCCACCTTTGCTATATCCTTAACTAACCGCTTGTCTAAACCAGGGAAAGAGGTTGATCCCCCGGCAAGGATAATATTGGAAAAGAAGGAATTCCTCAGGCCTATATCACATTTCATTATGCTGCTGAAACATATCTTATCAATGCCAGGGGCCTCAAGGTTCATGTGACACGGAGAGAAGAGGGCCTCTGGACAAGAAAAGAGTTGGTCATGGAGCCGGAAGACCTTCCCGTCAGGTAGTTGGTAAACTTTTTCTAGACAATCAGGTTTCTTGGCCATTTCCTCATCGTAATTCATTGCCACATAACAAAAGGTCTCCTTGATGTCTTCAACAATCTTTCTGTCTGAAGCACTAAGCAACAAGATACCGTGGTTCTTCATTAGCACCATGAGGTAGTTGGTGAGGTCAAGGCCGGCCAGATCCAGTTGCTGCACACCATGAGGCAGACAGTAACCCTCAAAGATGGGCACACTCTGGGTAATCCCAGCTCCTGAATTCAGCACAAGGCCAGTAGTGAAGCCAGCAGCAAAGAGAGCTAGCACAGCCTGGATGGACATATAGAAGGCAGGAACACCCAGATGCTCAAAAAACACTTCTGTGATCTGTTGCCGGTTGGCCAGTGGGTTCAGGGCTGGCTCAGTAATCAAGACTGGACCATCACATGGCTTCAGCTTGAGGTTATAATCATAGATATGCTTCCACATGATCTCCATGTCGTCCCATGAAGTAATGAGACCTCGCTCCACTGGGTAACTGTAGGGAGAGCAATAAGATCAATTATTTTTCTAGTTTCTATTGTCTTCGACCCTCAGTTAATCACCACGTTTATTACCAATATCCCTTTATGGGCAATAACTGCCACAGCCTCTCACAGAAGGTAAAAGTCAGCAAAAATTAGCACAGCTACCTACCTCTGCAATTTTTGTTGCTTTCCATTTTCTCTCTCCTTTGGAAGTTTGTGACTCTCAAGAAATTGGGGGCGGGGAGCGGGAGGGGGAAAAAAAAGAAAAGAAAAAAAAAAGAAATTGGGAAATTTTCATATTATAGTGTAGTTTATGTCAGTTGAAGAGAATAACCCAAGTGACAAAAGGAGCCACGAGTTAAGTAATATTCTTAAATGAATTCGTTCGATAACTTTATAGTTTGTATACATTTGTATAGCCACAGAGAGCAAAATGTTCAATTTTTCGATGTGTGGTAGCCTCAGAGATTTGTGGCCTGCGCGTCTGTAGTAACTCCAGCTGGCTGGGACTTTCCTGCTCCTGGCTTCCTTATCCTTTCTGTCCCCATAGCGCACATTCTTTGGGCTCCTTCCCCCCCCCCCCCCCCCCCGCCCACCCTGCGGGGAGAAGGAGGTACCTGATGGACAGCGAACTTCTCCATGCCTGAGCTTGGTCGCCCACGCAGAGTTCTAGCCCGCCCTGGGCCGCTGGGCTCTGGCCCTTGGCGCGGCCGATAATGTTCGGGTAGAGAAACTGGGGCTCCCTGGACCCCGCCAGGCCCGCCTTGATCACTCCTGAGCCGTTGTCGATCACCACCGGTAGCTGGTAGCAGTTCATGCCGCCGCTGTCGCCGCCGGCTCTTGTCTCCGGGCGGCTCTGGCTACCTGCTCTGCAAAGGACGACTGACTGGAACGCCGCGTCACAGAGGCGCCCGGCACCGCCCGGAGAGGCCTGAGTCTGGGGGCGCAGCCGCGGGCGGGGGGCGGGGGGGGCAGGGGGGGGGGGGGGGGGGGGCTCCAGGCGCTTGGGATAGTTGGACTCACAGTGCGCCTCACGGCACCGCCTGCTATTGCTTCTCGCAGGAACTGGGCCACCCCAACCCCGGGAATCCCGGAATCCCAGTATCAGGAAAACCCGACTTTCCCATCAAAAGATTAAACGCTGACACTCACAAATGCATTTCTCAAATACCCAGAAGAGCTGGCCGGACGCGCTGGCTCATGCCTGTAATCCCGGCACTTTGGGAGACTGAGAAGGGCAGATCACGAGGTCAGGAGATCGAGACCATCCTGGCCTCGGTGAAACCCCGTCTCTACTAAAACATAAAAGATTAGCCAGCGCGCGCGCCTGTGGTTCCAACAACTCGGGAGGCTGAGGCAGGAAAATTGCTTGAACCCGGAAGGCAGAGGTTGCAGTGAGCCGAGATCGCGCCACTGCGGAGACAGAGAGAGACTCTGTCTCAAAAAAACAAACAAAAAAACCCAGAAGAGCTATAAAAGCAGTTTTATTTTCCAAAGCCACTAAATTCTGGTTAACAGGTGGCGGTTCCGGGGAGTTCTAGAATTCGCCCTTGAAACTGGGGGAGAATGAGACTTAAGAGGGGGAGAGTTGTCGCAGGAAGGGAGGCAGTGTTGAGGCTTCTGAAACGTTAAACTTCTAAAATGAGGGGGGAAATGTTGGAATTTAAATTATTTTTAAGTACTTTTATTATTTTTTCTGTACCCTGGGCAATGCTTTGTTATACTTCTTGTGGTTTCCCAGCAAAATATACTCAATTAAAATAGTAGCTCCTCGCTTTAAAAAAAAAAATATTTTCGGACTATACCCTTCTGGTGTAATCTGCAAGCCTCATTCCCTAGTCTTGATTTTTAGCCTAAAGGACATGCCTGCCTTTTTGCAGGAAAAGTGAAGTTTCTCAGGTCACATGAAATTCAAGTTTGGAAAAATTTAAAAGTAGATTGCATGTTAGTAAACGCATTGTGGTGTCTGATTCTGCAAACTCTGTAAAGAATTTTGAAACAAGTAGTCAACTTAGTACCTCACCTTGGTCTTCGAGAGCAAAAGGAGGAAATTCAAAACTAATTTTACACGTCCTTCCACCAGAAGCTGAAAGGATGGCTTTTTCGCAGCCAAGAGCAGCACCGGGGCCGGGACTTGGGGCTCCGCACGTGGCTGGCCCTCCCCGGTCTCCGAAAGCCCCCTGCTTCGCCTTGGACTCTGAGCAGCTCGACGTGCGAAAGGATATGTAATAAAACGCTTCTTTCCCAGGAGGGGGAAAAAAAAAAAAAAAAATACCCAAAAGAAGGGAAACTCCATAGTGCCTGGTTTCTACCTCGGTACCCAGGCGCTTTGAAAGAAAGTGCATGCAAATTCAAACTTTTGAAATAATTTCAGCACTGTTAAATTGGGCTTAGGTTATTTTTCACTTTCTGGTTTTTTTTTTTTTTTTTTAATAAATTACATGAATCCCACTCAATTTGGTCTTAATAGCTTGACAATTGGGATATGACACAAACATATCAAGGTCTTTATGAACCTTCTCACTCAGCAAGGTTTCCGTAGTGTAGTGGTTATCACGTTCGCCTAACACGCGAAAGGTCCCCGGTTCGAAACCGGGCGGAAACAACAGGCTGCACCTTTTTCTCCCTTTAAAAAAAAGCGTGACCTTAATACACGCCAGTCTTCAAAAAGACATGCTCTTGACAGCGATTTGAGAGTCTGAACTGTACGTATTTATGTTACTTTATTCGTTCACCACATGCTTTTATGGAAGACTTGCCACGTGGAAGGTGTGCCATTGATAGCAATTTGAGAGTTCCAACTGTACATTTTTATGCTACTTTATTTGTTCACCAAATGTTTGCACAGAAGACTTGCCACGTGGAAGACGTGCCCTGGGTTTTAAAAAATGAATTTGACTCACCAGCTAATACTGAAAAAATAATGTACAGCCTAGAAGGAGAGGCTAATGTGTAAAAGTAGTTAGTCCTGTCGCCTCCGGGGCACTTTTGTATTCTGTCACTTGGTTTTTCATCTTAATTGATGTAAATAATCGAATTAAAAATCTTCTAGTCCAGACGCAGGAAAACCTTTTCCGGTATAAAGCCCACCTTCCTCTAATGTTGCGCATGCCCACTGTGCCCAGCTGCTCCGCTTTCGAGCATCCTAGACTTCTGTCACCAGGTAAGGACATCCTAGAAGCTGAGCTACAGTTGGCTGGGGCACACAAAAACCTGGGGGTGCCAAGAGTTTCCAGGTACGTAAGCGGGAAAGGGGTGCCGAGTCTCAGCTAAAAAATCCCCCATGGCAGAGATCCGAGTACACATGCAGCAATTTCCATCGGTGGGGCCCCGAGGAAGGGGAGGATGATGGGAGAAGACGAGCAACTACAAGCCCCCGCACGCAGTGCGCAGCTAGCTTCTGGAAAGAGGCCCGCGATGCAGTGCTGCCGGGCCTCGGCGCAGAGCCCCGGCCGAGCGCCAGACGCGGACTGCCAGCACCAGAATGCTCGCGATGAGAAGACAGGCGGAGTACTGCGAGCGAGCGAGCCTTCAGCTCTCGTATCCATGACGCCTGCTGCTTCGTGGGACCCCTGGCCTGCAGGGTAGTGGGTCTCTGCGGGACATCCTGTCCTGCCCTGGCCGGCGCCGGACCCCCACGGCCCCGGAGCCTCCCGCGCCGCCACGGGATGACAGAGCCGGACGTGACGCTACCGTGGAAGGAAGGGAGGGGCGGAGCGTGGCGCGGTGACGTCCTCCCAAGATGGCGGAGAGAGAGTGAAGAAACTGTGTTCCCCCCTTGGGTTGCTATCGGTGAGTTCCTACTTCACCCCCAGCCCTCCTGCCCCGGTCTCTCCAGAACACTGGCCATTGGAGGGCAGGCTCCTTGGAGTTCCGGCATGGGTCCGGGCGAAAGTGGAAGGCTTGGGCTAGGCAGCCCCGGCGGTGGCCTGGGCCACAACCTCTGCTGTGGGAATTCGCGGGAGTGGGAGCTGGGCAGAGGGCAGGGCGGCAGAAGCCGAGGAGGGACTGGCTTTCGTTGTCACTCTCGAAAGCCGCCTCGCGTGGATAGAGAGAGAGAGGAGAAGGTGTGGCCTCCTCGGCGCGAGTGACAGAACCTTTGACAGCAAGCCTTGGCCGGGTGCATTCCCCGCTCCCTGAGCCGCCGCCTCGCGTTTTGGAGAAACTGCACTGGGGAAGCTACAGGTTTCGATGACTTGAGAGCAATTTTTTAAAAACTCGAACTGTTCTCCCCCTGTCAGCCCCAGGAGATCATGTCTTAGTGGTTAAAAAAATTTTTTTGTAACATAAGTATGTCTACTGAGCTTGAAAATCTCAGGGTTCAACTGATGTGAAAGCGTCAGGTTTTGCGGTGCTTTTTTCAGGTGATAGAAGTGTTTGCATTCACCGTCATTTATTGATATGTCTAAACGATTGTGTTAGTTGGTCAAGGTAAACAAAGATAGAAAGGCACTCATCCCTTCATTCTTAACCATATATGTTTTATAAATGTTTTCAAGGGGGGGCTAGAATTGTTAAAGTTACGTCTTCTGTCCCTTCCCTCACCAATTGCTTGGGTGAACGTTGACGAAAACTTACAGTTACTGATTTACTATTTCTTTTTGTCTCTTAGATCAAGGGTAAAATTCCATTCTGATACCAAAATGCAGTATTCGCACCACTGTGAGCACCTTTTAGAGAGACTGAACAAACAGCGGGAAGCAGGTTTTCTTTGTGACTGCACCATAGTGATTGGAGAATTCCAGTTTAAAGCTCATAGGAATGTGCTGGCCTCCTTTAGTGAGTATTTTGGTGCGATCTACAGAAGCACTTCTGAGAACAATGTCTTTCTTGATCAGAGTCAGGTGAAGGCTGATGGATTTCAGAAACTGTTGGAGTTTATATACACAGGAACTTTAAATCTTGACAGGTAAAGTACACATTTTATTTTCAGTTGTAAAAGCTAGTCAGTACTCTTCACAGCTAAAGTAGATCTGTATTTTTTCCATTCATTCTCTGAACTCAAATTCTTCAACTATTTATGCACACAATGTTTGTTTTTATAAAGAAATCAGTATCACTGATTTGGGATAAGCAAGCAATATTTCATAAGCACAGAAAGCACAGATTTTAAACAGTAAGATTTTTACTGAAACAAAGCCTGTGATTTATTTCACTTATGTAAACTTGAACATCAAACACAATGCATTTTTTTTTTCTTTTTTCCTTTGATACTCTCACCCAGGCTAGAGTGCAGTGGCATGATCTCGGTCGCAGCAACCTCCTCCTCCCAGATTCAAGCGATTCTCCCACCTTAGCCTCCCAAGTAGTTGGGACTACAGGCGGGGGCCACTGCACCTGCAAATTTTTTTATTTTTGGTAGAGACAGGGTTTCACCATGTTGGCCAGGCTGCAAACACAATAAACTTTTAAGTGACTTCCAGTTTCCCATTGCTTTTTGGTCCTTAAATTCCTCTGGTCTTCTCTCTCTCTCTCAATTCTCCATCCCTTATGTCTTAAGGTATTTGAATGGAGTGTAGATGGGGAAGGAAGAACCTCTGTGCTCATATAACATTGCTGCCATTACCAACCATAAATAGTGTGCAGAACCTCTTCCTGATCTTGATTCTGGAAAATAACTTATTTGGAAAATGAATGGCAGTGACTCCTGTTACCTCTATTAACCTACCAGTACTAATGCTGAATTAAGGTCAGAGATGCTAGAATGCTTCTCTAAGATGCTTACAGCTGTCACTGCATAAACAAGAAGTGGGTTTTAGGTCGGGCGCGGTGGCTCAAGCCTGTAATCCCAGCACTTTGGGAGGCCGAGGCTGGTGGATCACGAGGTCAAGAGATCGAGACCATCCTGGTCAACATGGTGAAACCCCGTCTCTACTAAAAATACAAAAAATTAGCTGGGCATGGTGGCGTGTGCCTGTAATCCCAGCTACTCAGGAGGCTGAGGCAGGAGAATTGCCTGAACCCAGGAGGCGGAGGTTGCGGTGAGCCGAGATCGCGCCATTGCACTCCAGCCTCGCTAACAAGAGCGAAACTCCGTCTCAAAAAAAAAAAAAAAAGAAGTGGGTTTTGAGGAATCGATAATGCGGGCACTGTGTCTCCCCTGTATAATAAGCCGTATAATTAGACTAATACCAATACATTTACTGATTGTAGGGAAGAGGTGGAAGAGATAAAAGCAGAGAAACTGATTAAATTATGCCTGTCTTATTTCTGCCTCTCAAGAAAGTGAACATGAGAAGACTTTTCATAATCTTCTGCCATAGGAAGATTATAGGCTTTGGAATTAGTTCTTGCCTGTCAGTCACTATGTCTCCTTGAGCATGATACAGTCTCTCTGGGCTCCAGTTTCTCTATCTGTAAAAATGAGATGGTAATAACTACTTTGAGGCTAAACAAGGTTTTACTTGATCCTTATTCACTTCCTGGTGAACATTAATTTCTTTCTTTTTCTCTTCTTTACCCTCCCCGCCCCCTTTAATTCCACATTTCTCAGAGAAAATTTAGAAAAATGTAAATAAATAACAAAATAAGAAACACTTGAAAGTCTGCTACCCACTGATAACCCCTGTTAACCTTTTAATATATATTCATTCTTTTCCAGATCTCTGTAGAGATGTGCATGTATGCATTAAGCAAAATTCTTCCCTCCATTTTATATTGCAACTTGTCATGGAAATATGCTTATTTAAAAATCTAGAATCAGGGTGCTCATTAATCCTTTTGACAAGGAAACATTCTTGTGTAAGAAGTATCCAGTATGGGGAGGGGAGAGAGATAAAAGTAAACTTCCATGCTATTTTGGAATTATTTTTAAATTTTGGTATAATGAAATCTTCAAGCGAGTTCTGTATAAGTTGATTAAAGGAAAAGAACAGTGTGAATTTTGGCTGGTCTTCAATTTAGTGGCTCCCCTTTCTCAATTATGCCAAAAAAAAAAAAAATTGATTTGAATACATGCTAGAGCACTTTTCCTTGAGACTTCATGGAAAGAACCAATGTGAAGAACAGCCAGGTGTTTTGTTCAGTCTCTTTTGGAACATATCTTTCCTGGGGATCTGGGGAGCCAATTCTTTGAGTTCAGCTAGAAATGTAAGAGAGGATTTATACCAAAATAGAAAGGCTTATAACTTAGTGATTAAGAAAACAGGTAGAATAATAGAATTGTCTCGGGGGCCAGATTACCTTGGTCAAATCTTTGTTCTAACATTCTGTGCTCTTGGACAAGTTAATTTATTTCTTTGGACCTCTGATTTTTTATTTGTATGTAAAATGAGGATTTATAATAGATTTCATAGGCATGTTCTGAAGATTAAATGAACTAATCTTATAAAGTATTTAGGCATATACCTGGCAATATGTAATTAAATGACTTTCAATGACTGTTCACAAGATGAAAGCAAGTTCGGAAGCACGGTTATCTATAATACTTGTAAAGGAAAACAAATCTGTTATTGAAGTAAACAAGTGTTGATCGGTGCTCTTCACTGTGACTTAGATTGTAGCCGTCTATGAAATAGTTTGTATGAATTACTATTTCAGTATTGAACAGTTTTTTTTAAAATAGCGCCTTGCTATAATTTTTTTTTTTTTTTTTTTTTTTTCCTGAGACAGAGTCTCAAGCTGTCGCCCAGGCTGTAATGCAATAGCATCTTGGCTTACTGCAACCTCCGCCTCCCCGGTTTAAGCGATTCTCCCACCTCAGCCTCCTGAGTAGCTGGGCTTACAGGTACCCGCCATTATGCCCAGCTAATTTTTGATAGAGACGGATGGGATTTCACCATGTTGGAGGCTGGTCTTGAACTCCTGACCTCAGGTGATCCTCCAGCCTCAGCCTCCCAAGTGCTGGATTGCCAGCATAAGCCACCATACCCGGCCTTGAACAATTAATGTATGACTTCCTGCTGTCTTGTATTGGTCTTAAAGGCTACCTGACCTTGTTATCTGTTCGGTGGTTCATTTTATGGAGCACCAAACACAATCTTTTTTAGTGGCCTAGCCCAAAAGACAATTTTTAAAAAGTCATTGTGATGCTAAATTAAATAAGGTGAAACATACATGTGGCACTTGAGGCAAAGCAAGTTTAATTAGAAGATGATGAGAACATAGGTAGAGATTTGCACGTACTGTAGGATACTTTTAGAGATCTTAGAGGTTCGTGACACTAGTTATTTTAAATTTTATTCCAAATGTTAGTCCTTTTTAAAAAAAATGGTATCACCAGCACTATATTTATATTGTTAGCTATGATTAAAACCTTTTCTGGCTTACACTTAAAGAGGTAAAGAGATCATCTTCCCAAAGAAACCATGTTTCAGGAAAAAATCATTCTGAAACCTATTCCTCTTAGTGGCTTCCTCTTGGCAACACTGGCATCACCAGGGAGTGTATTAAGAAATGCAGGCTGGGCTGGTGGCTCACACTTGTAATCCTAGCACTTTGGTAGCCGAGGTGGGAGGATCACTTGAGGCCAGGAATTCGAGACCAGCCTGGGCAGCATAGCGAAACCTTGCCTCTACAAAATAATTTAAATAGCCAGGTGTGGTGGCACATGCCTATAGTCCTACCTACTTGGGAAGCTGAAGCAGGACAATCACTTGAGCCCAGGAGTTTAAGGCTGCAGTGAGCTGTCATTATGCCAGTGTACTCCCACTTGGGCAACAGAGGAATATCCCATCTCAAAACAAAAAAAAAAGAACTGCAGAATCTCAGGCCCTATCATAGACCTGCTGAATTTGAATCTACATTTAACAAGATTCCTGGGTGATTCACATACACAATGAAGTTTGGGAAACATAATTAAAGTCCCTCACAGGGGAGCAGGAGAAAATAGTAGGAAACAACTGTCATTAGACTTTTCCTCTTGCCAATCCAGAAAAGTTGGTTGCTATCTGAAGAGGCCTCCGGATGAATGGGAGGAGGTAGGGAGGTGCCAACAGCTATTTTTGTGTTCTAGATTTTTTAAAAGCCAGAAAATTTAACGTTTAATTTTTCTGCAGTAGTTCATTGACAGCTGTGAATAGCCATTATCCATCTCTTGAAGTTCTGTAAAATTGGAATTTTTACCTAAACATTATTCTGAATGAATTTATAAATATTCTTTTCTCTTAGTTATACGCCTTTGTCAGCATTCTACTTCATTAGGTCTTTAAAATACATTGAAATATATATGCAGCTCTGTTTCAAAAAGTTTTTCTTTGATCAGAATATTGTCATGTAGCCTTGTTTCCTTACAGTTGGAATGTTAAAGAAATTCATCAGGCTGCTGACTATCTCAAAGTGGAAGAGGTGGTCACTAAATGCAAAATAAAGATGGAAGATTTTGCTTTTATTGCTAATCCTTCTTCTGCAGAGATATCTAGTATTACTGGAAACATTGAATTGAATCAACAGACTTGTCTTCTTACTCTGCGAGATTATAATAATCGAGAGAAATCAGAAGTATCTACAGATTTGGTTCAGGCAAATCCTAAACAAGGGGCATTAGCAAAAAAGTCATCTCAAACAAAAAAGAAGAAGAAGCCTTTCAACTCCCCAAAAACAGGGCAGAATAAAACAGTGCAATATCCCAGTGATATTTTAGAGAATGCATCTGTTGAATTATTCCTAGGTGCAAATAAACTGTCCACACCTGTAGGAGAACAAGTTGCACAAATAAATGATAATTCAGAACTCGAGTTGACATCAGTTGTGGAAAATACTTTTCCAGCACAAGATATTGTGCAAACTGTTACAGTGAAACGGAAACGTGGAAAATCACAGCCGAACTGTGCTCTGAAAGAACACTCTATGTCTAATATAGCTAGTGTCGGGAGTCCTTACGAGGTGGAGAACTCCGGGGAAGAGCTGGATCAGAGGTATTCCAGGACCAAGCCAATGTGTAACACATGTGGGAAAGTGTTTTCAGAAGCCAGCAGCTTGAGAAGGCACATGAGAATACATAAAGGAGTCAAACCTTATGTCTGCCACTTATGTGGAAAGGCATTTACCCAGTGTAACCAGCTGAAAACCCATGTAAGAACTCATACAGGTGAGACGGGTGTGTGGGGAGATATAACTATTTTTATACTGTGACTAAAATAGTATATTTTTATAGAGAGTACTTAGCACACACTACTTGTGACCAAAATTTGGTATATTTTTCTATTCATCAAAGTATTTAACAGTGTTAAACTATTGAAAATTTATTTGTAACCAAGTGTTTAATGGCTGTTTAAGCCCTAATGCATCAACTGTTCATACCATTTTCCCTCAAAATAAGCATGTTCATTCTAACTTACCAAGTATTTAACAGAGACAAAGCCATTAAAACTGATAAAGAGAAAATGTAATTACAAATCAGGCCAATTTTCAGATATTGCCAACACTTCTTATTACAGACTTCTTAGACTGTGTTGACCTTTGAACATGTTCATTAGAATTACACATACAGTGTTTCCTCAGCTTCTACAAGTACCTTTATTTTGTATGTCCTCTGGTGGCAAAGTATGAGCATACATTGGTACTTTTAGATTCATACTTTTAAAAATGCTGTATGTACTTCTCTCATTGTGAATTCAGAAACACTAATTTCTTCTAATTCTACTGGTGTTTTCAATGGTCTAGAAAGAGATTTTATTTGTTTTCAGTTCTAGCAGTAACATTTTCTGAATACCAAAGCTAGTATTGTTGATGAAATCTGGTATGTTTTATGAAACTGAAATACTATTTTCTTCTAAATATAAATTTTATTTACTTATTCCTTTAGGTGAGAAGCCATACAAATGTGAATTGTGTGATAAAGGATTTGCTCAGAAATGTCAGCTAGTCTTCCATAGTCGCATGCATCATGGTGAAGAAAAACCCTATAAATGTGATGTATGCAACTTACAGTTTGCAACTTCTAGCAATCTCAAGATTCATGCAAGGTAAAAAAACCAGATGAGTTGTTTGATCTTTTAGTCTTTTAATCATCATAGGCTTATGAATAGACTATTATATTAGAATTCAGGACAGTAGAATTCTAATTGTGGTTCCACCAAACAATGTTAACACATTCAAGGAATCACAAGGAAGCCATGGTAGCTGATAGAAAATAAGCAGGCTAGGGGGAAGCTACTAGGAAATAAGGTCAGTCTGGTCCAGAAATAAGATCAGAATGGTCCAGAATGCAATTTAAGAGGATCATTCAGGCTGTTAGGATTATAAGAGTGTAATCAGGGTAAACAGGAATCTATAGATAAAACTCATGCAAGGGTGATGGTAGTTCAGACCAGAGTGGTAGCAGTGAAGGAAATAAGTAGTAGTAGATTCTGGATATATTTTAAAGTTAGAAATAACAGAATTTGCAGACAGATTGTATATGAGGTCTGAAAGAGAGTCAAAGATTATTCTGGCAACCCCTATAAAGATGGAGTTGCCATTAATTGAGATGGAGAAGGTTTGTGGGTAGAACAGCTTAAGTGGAAGTGCAGGAATTTAGGAGTACAGTTCTGAGCATGTTAAATTTGAGATGACTTCTGAATAGAGATGTGCCATAGATAATTGGTTATCTAAGTCTGCAGTTCAGGGGACTGGTTTGAGCTGAAGATACCAGCATCAGCATATGACAGTATTTAAAGCTATAATCCTGGATAAGGTCACTAAGAGAGTGAATGTGGACAGAAGAAATCAGAAGATGGTCCTGAGGCACTCAAATTTTACGAGTTCTGGGAGATGGTGTGAGAACCAGCAGAGGTAACTAGTAAGGAGCAGCCAGTAGAGGAGGAAAACCATGAAAGTGGGCTGCCCTGGAATCCCAGGTGAAGGAAGTTATTCCAGATGGGAGTGATCAAATGATCAATTGTAAAAATCTGTGATAGGGAGATGAAGACTGAAAATTGATGTGGATTTAGCAAAGTGGGAAGTCAGCTGTGCTCTTAAAAAAAGCATCATTAGTAGAGGCTAGTAGAGAAGAAATGGTAGTAGAATACTTTGGAGTCTCAAGGTTTTGGTAAAGGGGAGCAGAGAATGAAGGAGCAAGTAAGGTCAAAGGTCTTTCTTTTTATTAATATGGGAGACATCAGTATATTTGTATACCATAATCCAATGGAGTGAGAAACATGGATGATGTAGGATTGGAGAAATTGCAGAAGTGATATTATTAAGTAGGTCCTCAGGTATACAAATTGGAATTGATGGATTCGGATGAACTGTCATCCTCATGTTATGAATTTTTCTCAGTGAAAGCAGGGATGTCAGCTAAGAGTGACAATGGGCAAAGAGAGGCTGATGGTTTGAGGAGAGTTTCGATGAGTCAAAGAGTGACTAGACTCATGAAAATAATTGCCTGCAGTATTAGGATTCCACTGACAACCTTATAAAGATCAAGGAAAAACTTTTTGAACTGATCTCAAAACTAATGTTTTGATAGTAGCTAAAATATTTGTTTTTGGCATTGTTTACACTGAAACAACTACTGATTTTAAATACATAGTCTTGGGTTGTTAAGATGACATGAAATGTGTAAAAAACTTTATGAAATCTTGCTATATAGATTGACCTCCAAATTGTTTTACTTAAACTTTATATTTATCTACTAATAGGAAGCATAGTGGAGAGAAGCCATATGTCTGTGATAGGTGTGGACAGAGATTTGCCCAAGCCAGCACACTGACCTATCATGTCCGTAGGCATACTGGAGAAAAGCCTTACGTGTGTGATACTTGTGGGAAGGCATTTGCTGTCTCTAGTTCTCTTATCACTCATTCTCGGAAACATACAGGTAAGTTTGACAGGGAGACTGCTTAAAATAAAGTTACAAATAAAAGAATTTGGACCTTTACCAAAAGTAGATTGGAAACTTTATAGTTAGATATCTCTCTGTACTTCTGTAAGCTATGTTTATGATTTTCACATATCTGTTAAACATAAAAGCTGACTTATTTTCTAGAGTAATGCAAGGTGCGTGAAATAAATTATGTAACTTACACATTAAAATCAGTGAGATAATTTTGATAATATATAAACTTGCAATGAGATGCATTTTGTGACTTTAAAAAATCTTTTCAGCTTCCTAAAGCATCATCTCCTATAGTTAGGGTTGGGGAGTGGGTTTGGGTCGAACATTGATTTTTTTTTTAACTTCTTAGGACCTTTCCTACACAGATATTCTGAGATTTGCAAATTAAATAATTCAGACGCAAAATAGCAGTTTAAAAGCAAACTGTGTTTTTAGGGGATTTTTTTAAAAGACTTACCTACTTTTATTCTCCTTTATTAATGTAGTAGATAGGAAGAATAGAAATGTGGGTTTATGAATTTACATACTCTTAATCATATAAAAATCAAATTCCTTGCCCAAATCATCTCTATTAGAAGGGACATTTGCAGGAATAAAGTTTTAATATATGAAAACTTATGAACAGTATAAAATAATTACTAATATTCATTTACTTGGATCACTGAAAATACCTCTAAAGTATAATATAGAGAGGTTTTAAATAATATTTCAGAAAAGCTTACTTTAGGTTATTTGTAATTGATAAATATTATATTGGTATAGTACACCACTTCGCTATCTTTTATTTTCCATCTAGGTGAAAAACCATACATATGTGGTATTTGTGGGAAAAGTTTTATTTCCTCAGGAGAGCTCAACAAACACTTTCGATCCCATACAGGTCTGTGTTTAGGGAGAATGTATTACTTTTTGTTCTCTCTTAATTTCTTTTTATGTAAATCTTGACTTTTAAGCCATTATGGACTATATGGTATCTAGTCATACTATACTTAGCAATATTTTATATTTATATCTGTATAAATATCAACTTATTTGCCTATCCTTTTTTTTTTAGTTGTTTGGAGTATGAATTAAATTTGTTAAAGAATTGTGTTGATTTTCCAAGAAATATGCCAGATAATCAATAGTTTTTAAATGATTTGGATTAAATTGCACAGATATACCAAGAAATGAAAAGGAATAGGTAATACCAATATAACATCAGATTTTCTTATTAAACAGTGTTTAGTATGCAAGTTTTAGGAACAAATTTTAATTTTGACATATTTATTGTAAAAATAGTTTGTAAATTATATGAAGAAAATATTGAATGTAAAAAATTTTAAAACAAAGGAAAATGCCACTTTGAAAGAGTACTGTTCTGACATTTTCTTTTTAAAAACTCCTCCTGGCCGGGCGCGGTGGCTCAAGCCTGTAATCCCAGCACTTTGGGAGGCTGAGGCGGGTGGATCACAAGGTCAAGAGATCGAGACCATCCTGGTCAACATGGTGAAACCCCGTCTCTACTAAAAATACAAAAAATCAGCTGGGCATGGTGGTGCGTGCCTGTAATCCCGGCTACTCAGGAGGCTGAGGCAGGAGAATTGCCTGAACCCAGGAGGCGGAGGTTGCGGTGAGCCGAGATCGCACCATTGCACTCCAGCCTGGGTAACAAGAGCGAAACTCCGTCTCAAAAAAAAAAAAAAAAGAAAGAAAAAACTCCTCCTCATAATTCCTGCCTAGAATAGTATGAGTACTTAATTGAGATGTAGTAAGTTTTTGGTGACTTTATATTCTCATGCGCTTTAGTTTATACCATAAAGCACTGAACAGTTCTTATTTCCAAAGTATAATATTATAGCATGTTGTTAGTACGTTTAAGTATTTTCTAATTCTTTAGGTACCTGAGAGCAGAAACAATGATTATTACACTTACTTTCCCACAACTATATCTCTTAGCCAATGTCTGGCATATAATCGACACTCACTAAATATTTCATAGAAGTGGAAAAATACGTTTTTGTTTATTTGTTTTAATTTGCGAGTAAATTTCTTTTCATGAAAATGTTCCCTTTTTCTGAGATACAGATGTTTTGTATAAAGGAGTGACTAGGTTGCGTAGAATCTTTTGTTTCACTATATTATAACCAGGTGATTGGTAATTTGAAACCAAATTTAAACACCATAATAATTTTTGCCTTGTGTTCATAAACATTGATATTTTTGTCTTAGCTAGCAGCTTTTAATATATTGAAGTTTAAACTTTTTAATTTGTTTTTCAGGAGAAAGACCATTTATCTGTGAATTATGTGGTAATTCTTACACTGATATTAAAAATTTAAAGAAGCACAAAACAAAAGTCCATTCTGGTAAATGCTGTGTGTGTGTGTGTGTGTGTGTGTGTGTGTGTGTGTTTTAATATAATTTGGTGCTCATATTGGTGCTATTCCTTAAAATGTTGAGATGAGATGTACATATTTAAGCAGTATAAATTAGATGTCTATTTTGAAAAGTAGACATCTACATAGGAGGAAAGTAGCTTTTTTGCAGAAACATTCAACTGTGGATTTCTTTTCATGTTGAGCCTCTTATTAAAAAAATACTTGAAACATTTCCTCCTTTTAAAACCTGACTTAGTAACAGTCCGAAGCATGAAGGAACATATAAGTAAGCTATATCACTGTTCCTCATACTGGAGTCTGGATAACTCAGGGTTTACTATGGTTATTATGGGAAAAAAGGGGGTGTTATCAACATTAATCCAGAAATGTTTAAGAGAAAATAGGGAAACAGGTAGCCCTACACTGTTATAATATATCAAAATGGAAAGCCAGACCCCAAGGTTTGAGTCTGCTGGTTAAAATAAATCCTTGAAAAAGTTTCCCTGTGCTTACCATTTTATTCTGTCATTACTAGAAATGACACTAGGTCCCTCTGGTGTATAAAGATGACAGTAAGTCTCTTAAAATAAATATAAACATAACTATTAACTTAGAAACATCTGAAAACTGTAGTAAGTCATTAATTTAACTACTTGTTAAATTTTTATAAAGTATACATAACTGTTTAGGGAATATGAAGTTGAACAAGGCATAGTTCTGATACTCTAAAGAGCTTACAACCTGGTGTTTGAGACCAGAGACCTAAATAAATAATTACAAGGGAAAATGTAGGACATAATCAATACAAAAGTACTAAAGAAGATATTAAGTTTTTCTGAGGTAAGTACTAGAAAAAGCTTAATTTTAGGGAACTTGAAGGTTGGAGAAGAGTTCAAAGATGGAGATGGGAAGAGAGAATTCATTCCAAGCAGAGAACATTGTAAAGAGTCAATGGGACAAGAAGGAAACCTTGGCTAGTTGAAATGAAGATTAGCTTGGGAAGAATACAGATAATTACAGTTTTAAGAAAACAAATATGCAGTTTTGTCTACCTAACAAGGACAGTGAAACTGAAATCATGTTGATACTTTATAGAGTAACAGGAGCATGTTAAAGCCATTTGAAAATTTGAAGGCAAAAGTACATCTTTTGTCAATGTGCTAATTGCTCCCTTGAGTAGAGCAGAATTTCTCACCTGAAAATATATGAAAGTACCAGACACATTCTGAACTCGCAGAATAATATAAATTACTCATTAAAAGCATTCAATGAACAAATAGAGTATTTCTTATCACTATTCAGTACTTTGAGGGAGTTAAGAGTATAACTTGACATTTACTCTCAAAGAATTTCCAGTCTAGTTGAGGATTCAAGGTATACCTGAGTAGAATGGCAATAAGAGGTGGACGCCACAAGACAGCATGTGAAAATTGAAAAATGTGTGGTAAAATAGATAAAACAGCCCACCCTGTTTCATTCTTAAGTCCATTTTTTTTTTAATGGAGTTGGTGCTTGAGCTTAACCTGAGGCCCAGATTGAATTTACATAGATAATGAGGAGGGCATATCTACAAAAAAGAAACTGCTTGAGTAAATGTATGGAGGCTGGAATGTAATTTCTAGGAATGGTCAAGTACATTAGTCTACCTCGGAGGTTTAGTTTCGTTTTTGAAGATAATGTAAATTTTTTTCCCTTCCGTTTTAGGTGCAGATAAAACTCTAGACTCCAGCGTAGAGGATCATACTTTGAGTGAACAAGATTCCATACAAAAGAGTTCTTTATCAGAAACTCTGGATGTGAAACCTTCTGATATGACTTTACCATTAGCTCTTCCACTTGGGACTGAGGACCATCACATGCTTCTGCCTGTCACAGATACTCAGTCTCCTACATCAGATACATTGTTGAGGTCAACTGTGAATGGATATTCAGAACCACAGTTGATATTTTTACAACAATTATACTGAATGTGAGGAATATGGAATTGCTAAGATGTCATTGATAGCAAACATCTCTGGTAAGGTGCATATATTCATGTTAAATTCCCATTCATTTGAGTTGTGACCATTATTTTTCATTCACTGAAGTAAAAGCACCTGATGCTGCATCACAACTGCAGTGTTTGTTTTTATTTTTGGCTTTTATGTCTATACACACAGCTTTTTAAGGAATTAATTATGTAGCACTATTTTGGGTGAATGAGTTTTATTTTCTTTTAAAGCTGCCTTAATTCCATTTTTATTTTGCATTTTAGAATTGCCCTTCATTTACTACATCAGCCAGTTAATGTGATTCAGTTTTGACCTGTGGGATTTAAAATTTTTACCGCCCTCAGAATTTAAGCAATAGTATCAGCCCAAGAATGTGTTGTTATTTGTAAGCCCCACATAAACTATGGAGAAAAAATGAAATTTCATATTTCTGCTCATGAAAATTTAGTTACTGAGTAAGAATTGTACTATTTCTCTATTAATATATTCTGATAACTTTTCTAATGAAACAAAAACATGTTTCTCAAAATCTAGAAAACTGCATATAAAATTTTGTTCATTTAGGACTCGGTATTCTGGAGAAAACCATTGGGTCAGTACTTTTGGTTTATTTAAGATTATATTTTCAAAATGAACTTTAAATAGATAATTGGTGTTTTTATCTCAGCAAAGACGGTTTCAAAATTTGATTCAGTTTGTTTTATTCCATTTCTAGAATATTGGAAATGAAAATATACTGAGTTTTGAAATATTTTGGCAAGCCTCTCTTATGCCTGTTAGGCACTTTTTAAAAGAAATACTAAATTCCAAAAAGAATTTTCTAGATATAAACTTAATGCATACTAGAAATCAGTTGACTTCTAAATTTGGTACATTTTATTGGGTAAAGAGTTAAGAAATTAATTTCAATTATAAGTAAACATTTTGAGTTAGCAGAAAGCCAGCTTATTAAATATTTTATATTTGAGTTTTCTATAAGTTTTGGGTTTGTTAATTTTATAAATTAAACCACAACTTTTGGTAGTTGTTGTAGTTTCACAATGGTCCATTTCCTTCAAAATGAATATAAAAAATTCCTTATTATCCCAATATTTGCACTACTCATCCCTATACCACTTTTCTCACATATTAATTTATTTCACTGCCTGATCTTTGGATATGAAATTATCAGTTCCACAAAGTCAGTTTTTATAGTGCTGATCAAATACTATGGTGACATTCTTCCTTTTTCTTTTTTTTTTCTCCAAGGCTGTTTCTCTGTGTGAGATGACATCATTTCTTATTTCTGTCATGGTGTGGCTTATTTGTTTTCTGCTTTTAAACCACACCTGTAGTACAGTTAGTATGTTTTATATTGCTATTGATTTCTTTAATTCACTAATTTTCTTTATTTAGGACCCAAGTCATAGGAACCAATTAGAGGACATAATAAAAGCACTTAATGCTTGTAGTCTGTTGCGATCTTCACTATTTCAGAGCACACACACTATTTTCTTTTTTTTTTTTTTTTTTGAGATGGAGTCTTGCTCTGTCACCAGGCTGGAGTGCAGTGGCCCGATCTCAGCTCACTGCAACCTCTGCCTCCTGGGTTCAGGCGATTCTTCTGCCTCAGCCTCCTGAGTAGCTGGGATTACAGGCACACACCACCACATCCAGCTAATTTTTGTATTTTTAGTAGAAACGGGATTTCACCATGTTGGCCAGGATGGTCTCTCTCTCCTGACCTCGCGATCCACCTGCCTCGGCCTCCCAAAGTGCTGGGATTACAGGTGTGAGCCACCACATCCAGCCCACACACCGTATTTTCATAATAAATTGCCACCGGTGGGACTGACCTAATTGAATAGAGTTTGGAATACCACCTTTGTATGATACAAATTTAATATTTGATTATTCATCTAAGAAATCTACCCATGTGTATTAAGTTAAAATACTGGATTTAAATAAAATTTATAAAGCATTACAATGTTCATCTAATGTCTTCTGGGTTACATTTGATAGGAATTTATTGGAATATGAAGAAATTAAAGAAAATTAAAAGACTCAGCCTCTTTAGGAAGTTTGCTAAAATGGAGAGGTTGTGTTTAATTTATATCTTCATTAATCCAAGCATCTAATGAACAGAAAACTGCTGCAGTAATGTCATGATTCTCTAAGGGCAATAGTTGCCAAGTTTCCTCTGGTATAATTAGCATTTTGCCTTTGCATAGACTAGCCTTCAAATTTATTATTTTTAGTATTATTTGATATGGTTGAAATGGCTAAGATTGAGCTTTTCTTGATCACATTATCTGCTTCTTAGCTAAAGTAATTTTATTTAAATTGACATGGCTTGAGTTGTCGTCATCTTCTGCTCTTCCAGAATGACGTGTAAAGAAAATTTGAAGACAGTATCCCTTCTTTGCCATTCTTCTCTTAATGCTGTGCTATTATTGATCATAATATGCATATGTTGTAACTGGTATCATTCTAAAACTCATAATTACCATTTTAGTTAAGTCCAACTTTAATTATATTTGTTATAATGCAGTGTTTTGGGAAAGGTCTATTAGTAATTATTTCAGTATTACAAATGTTTTTGAAAGTCTTTAGACGCTGAAGATCTTATTGAGAAACTATTTTCTAAATGAATTTAATTTTGTTTTATATTTGTATCAGACATGCCTATTATATTGTTAGATTTTAGACTATTTTAAAGGAAACTGTAGATTATATAAATTTTTTTGCTGTTTTTAAATGGTATTGTTTTATGTTTAATTTCACAGGATGATTTTGATAGACAAATTTTAGAAGATCTTTTTTTCAAAGGTAATGGTTCTATTAGTTCCATTGCAGCGGTAGCTTATCATTTCTGTGTTTCAGTCCTACAGAAATTGTGCAAGTGAGTAGTTGAAATAATGTACATGTACTAGTTTTAAGTATCCCAAATAGCTCTAACATTTAATGCATATCAGAAACATGTTTAAGAAATAACAATATCCAGGCCCATTCCACCTTTTATATCTACTGAACCAGATAGGTCCTAGGGCATATATATGCTGGAAAAGCCCCACAGGTGATTTTAATGTATACCAAACATGTGAACTATCTTTTTTTCTTTCTTCTTTTTTGAGACAGAGTCTCACTCTGTTGCCCCGGCTGGAGTGCACTGGCATGATTTTGGCTCACTGCAACCTCCACTTCTTGGGTTCAAGAAGTTCTCCTGCCTTAGCCTCCCAAGTAGCTGGGACTACAGGCATGCACCACCACACCTGGCTAATTTTTTATATTTTTGGTAGCAATGGTGTTCACTCTATTGACCAGGCTGGTCTCGACCTCCTGATCTCAGGTGATCTGTCCTCCTCGGCCTCCCAAAGCGCTGGGATTACAGGCATGAGCCAGCGTGCCCAGCCTTAAACATTTCTTGGCGTTTTACCTTTGGGAAGCAGTTTAAAATGATGCTCTTGAATATAATTTTCAGTATTTTACCTGGAAATTTTGAGTACCTAGAACTTGACTAGAAATACCATCAAGTAAAATTATTTAAATTCTACATTTTTACTCATTTATGGACAATATTGATATGTAGTTACTAGAGCATTAATTTTTTGAGATAATAATATAGTCTTCTGTCCTCTGCAACACCTGCCTCTATTCATTCAAAAGAGGTTTGCTGTACAGAGGCTTCTTGGCTTACGGGTTTATCATAAGTCAAGGAGTATACTGAATATATATTGGTTTTGCACATTGTAAAGTCAAGAAATCACAAGTCAGGGACCATCTGTATTTGCTTAAGAAATTAGGTAATTACCATGTAAACACAGTATTTAATTTCAAGAAAAATTTACTAAAACACTATGGATTGAACATCCACATATTTGGATAACAGTATCTGGCCAGTTTCAAATGCTGGGGAAAAAATTCAAATCAGAATACATAAAGCTGCAAAGATAAAAAAGATAAACTACCCTTAAGTTTACAGTCAAGTGGAAATCCCAAGCATGAATATAACTAGCAATAAGAAAAGCCAGAATGTTGAGTGTTTTAGTAGGGAAAGGCAAGAAAGGAAATGCTGAGCAGTCAATTGGAGTAGAATGGACAGAGAAACGGTCATTGCTTAGCTGGATAGGCAAACGAGGAGATGGCTGATGGGACGAATTTGCACATGGATGATGAAGAGTGAACTAGGTAGAATGGAGAGAAAGCATTAAGTAGAGAGGAGAGGGAAGTCAGAGGCATGTCCAGTACTACACGTATACCATCTTGAAATAGTTTCTCTACCCATACTCTGCTGAAGGAGTGAGATTAGATAGCCAGGTTTGTAACCCACGTTCTCACATGCCAACCACAGTTGCGTGCTGGAGGGCAGGGATTAGACAGCCACATTTCTAACACATGATTCCATACTTGGGACCACAGCAGCAAACATTTTACCAGGAAAAAACAATTCATAGGCCAGACTGAGCTGGTCAGATTCTTTCTCAAAAATTTGAGCAATGACATTCTGAGACAATCAGGTAATGATATACCTATAAATGAAAAGATCATTTAGAACTGGCCTAGAAGTCAGTGAAGCAACCTGAAGTCTAAAGGAAATGATAAATAAGCAGAGAAAGCTGATCTATAGAATAAAGCTAGGGAATGAAACAGGTTTGCAGAGCCAAGAGACTGCCCTAAAGAGATCCGAAGTGGCCGTAGTTTCTGTCTTTGCAATCCCACTGAGGTGACAGAGCCATGATCATTTTCTGCACCTGGATGCCAGTGAGTGTGGTTGTTGTATCCTTACGTTAAATCTCCTTTTTTTTTAAACAGGCTGAGTCACTTTATTTTCCTTGTAAGCAGGCAGCACCAAATTGAACACCTAAGCTTTGATCCTAGTGACTGAGAAGATGGTGATGCCACTGACATCAAGATAAGTCTTAAGGAGCACATTTAGAGAAGGGAAGCAATTTTGATGTATCAAATTTGATTGGTGGTACGATATGTATGAAAAGTCTGGTAGTGGTTGGAAATGGGGCCTGAACTAGGAGAATTTAAAGGTAGACCTTGCAGCTAATAATTTATAGAAATGATTAAGGCAGCCCTGGGAAATGGTATAGGAGAAAAAAAGGTGGGGACAGAATTTGGGGGAAAATTCATTTAA